TTGACAGCCTCCCTGCTGCACTCTTCCTGTAACTCTTCTAGCAAACTAGGCACGTATTCCTTGCAGATCCTCAGGGCCTTGCTCCACATGCCAGCTTCCTGCACAAGCACAACAGGGAGGAGAAATTTTCACCAGTTCACCAGGATCCCCCACTCCTGGCATCACATAACACATCTAGCCTCTAATATCATCTTGCTGGAGGACTCACTGGAAGAAACAACCACAGCAGGCACAACCAGCTCTTTCCTCCCCCCAGAATGGCACCTGTGCCTATCCATTCACCCAACCTACCTTAGAAGAAAGTGCTCATCCATCCTAGCTACCTCTGTGGAATGGGCACTTAGTCTCCAAATGCACATACTTGTGCTACCCCTAAGAGCCATCCATATTCTGGCAGGATCTTTCCTCCTAGAGCTGTGAGGGAGCTAAGCTATGTTGTGAAACCTCTACCAGTTCAGTCTTATAAGAACAGGGCAGAATTAAGTTCTACTAGGAACCACTGAAATGGTTTCTCTTTGGCTACTAAGCTGATAGGGAGAGCTGGGAGATGGATTTCACTCCTCCATCCAAATTGGGTTCTTGTCCAGTGAGGAAGGCAATAATGTTACTATACACTACACTCACCTTGTAGTACTTTACAGCCAGCTCAGGTCTCTGTGCTCGCAAGAGGAATGCCTCTGCTTTCTGGAACTCCCTCTGCTCAAAAGCAAAGCGTGCCTGTCCCACAAGCACATCAGCCACACTGTCTGGGTCATAAGCCTCAGCCACACGCTGTGCAGCATCCCAGTTCTGGTTATGCACAAACCTAGGGGAATCAACATGAGATGTAACAAGGCAGACACGAAGGAGCAGCCCAATGCTGGAGAAGCAATCAGGCTGGTATCATACAGTGAGAGGAGATGCAGCAGGCCAGGATGGAGAACACATACATCAGCACTGCCTCCTTGGGTTTACCAGCTTTAATAAATTCTGCTTCAGCCTCTTCAAATTTGCCCTAGGAGAGAGGAAAGAGTTTGTTTGCATACCTTCCTGTCCTGATACCATCGCATGACCTCCTCTATTCACCACGAGGCAGAGAGGATTTATGAAACAAAGATATGTGTAATTATGGAGCCTTTTGGATGAGTAGTGACTGCAGCAATAAAAGCGCCTGCTGCAGCAGCCCTTAAGGACACCTGTTCAAATACCTGAGTGACCAGAGAACGCCCACCTATTCCAGAGGGTAAAATTACCTCATCTTCTAGGAACATGGCATATTTTAAGTGTATTTCAGGCATCTTCTGCTTCATGGATAGGCGTGCGAGTTCAAAAGCAAATTCAAAGACCCTGCAATGAAAGACAAAATGGGGTGAGAGCAGGGCTATGTGCTGTGAGTGCTTACCTTCATCAACAGCAAGACAACAGCAAGACAACAGCAAGACATTAAGTAGAGCACAAGACAGTGGGAGAGGAGAAAGGGGAATGCAAAAGGTCCCAAATGAACGGGCAACGCCCATTCCTCTAGAGAACAGGAGCTTTTAGAGCCGCCGCTAAGGAAATTCAGCTCCTCACACTTGCTATTACTGACAGAGGCCCTTGGTTCAACCCTAAGGGAAGGTCAAAAGACTCCCCCAGAGCCTAGCAACGTGGGAGAGCTGGGGAAGAGTAGCAGTGAATGGCAGTGCAGTTGGATGGCTGGCCAGGTGCAGAGTGGGGCCACAACTCTACTGGCAAGCAATTACTTGAGTACAGTCACATGAGGAAAACCTCCTCCTGTGTTCAGAGGCTCTCTCATGGCCCTCCTGCTGAGGTTAAAGGGTAAACTGCTTTTGCCTGCCCAGCTCTGACTTGACATCCAAAAGACTAACAAGTGGACAGAAAGTAGGATGAGTTAAGGAAAAGGAATGCCTGTGTGAAGAAGTGGGGTGCGAAGACATGCCATATCCGGGACCTGCAACTATCATCTGCATAGTTATCTCGGGCCACCCCTTTTTTCTCAGGTCAGGCGGATGGGAGAGACGTGCTAGGCTGATGAACCTGCTTACCCACTGTTTACTGCATGATCAATGGCCATCTCCAGAAGTCCAAATTTACTGAGGAGTTTCACAGCTGCCTCTCCACCCAGGCTCTTTGCCCACATATAGGCCACTTGCTTATAGGAGTTGGCTCCCCCATGCGCCTTGGCCACCTATCCAAAGCAAAGAAAGCAGAACAGCCTAATGCATCCATTTTGTCTTCAGTGGGCTGAGCCAGGACTCCCCTTTCACATGATGGCTGTCATCATGAGGGAGCACCAAAACCAACTGTTGTCTCCTGAGGAACCCTTCTGTAGCCACCACTGGACTAGGGAGAGTGAGATAAAGGCTTATATGGCAGAGCAGAAAAGAGACTGCTGCCTCCTCAGCATGGCCCACACTACTGTTAGGGCAGAAGTGACCCCTGGAAATCTGTGTCCACACTGGAGGGGAGCAGTGCTGGGGATGGGTTCGGGGCTGCTACAGAGTGGCTACGGGTAGAGCAATACTTCTGAGGTACAACATGGTGCAGTGGTTAGGAACAGAGCAGCAACCGGAGGAAGGCAGTCCTGCAGAGCTGCTAGGGATCAAGCCCTGCTTTTGGGGTACGATGCTGTAGAGCAGCAGGCACAAGGGCCTTCAGTGCTGTGCCAGATGCTGAAGCTAGGTAGTGTATGCCAAGTGTTCAAATTGTGCAGTGAATAGAGACAGAGCAGTTCCTACCAGGACCCTGCAATCAAAGCCTGATCCTTGCACAGTGGAATAGCTGTGAAATGACTGTTACCCTGTAAGCTTCTTCCCACATGTCATTCACTCTGTACATGTTTACTGCAGCCTTCCAGTCCTTAGCTTCTAGGTAGTGATACTCAGCCTCCTGTAAATGTCCCTCTGCCTCCAACTCCTGCAATTAGAGACAGTGAGTTAGGGACACTCTTGTCCCTAATTGGCCTAGTTGATCCACTGCCATAAGATGCACTTACCTTGCCCAGGTGCAGGTGGGTGTCACTGAGTAGGTTCTTGTGATACTTGGCTACTAGGCAAACCATCTCATGATACATCTTACAGTTCTTGTACATGGCAATGGCCAAATCAGGTTCATTCACAGTGATATACAGCCTGGGAACACAAGCACATTCAATAGCTCAGTGAGGACATGACCAATCCCTGCAGTCTCTGGATCCTGCCCACCTGGAGCCAGGTCCTGCACACACTGCTAAAAGGCATGACTGGTGTGCTGCATGACTGTGGTGGGCTACAAGGCTTAACACTGCTCAGACAGAACCCTTCTGTTTGCCACCATCAGCTGCAGCAGGGCAAAGTTATTCCCTCTGTTCACACTTGTTGCCCTGAGTTCTAACTCGGAGAGAACCTCTGGGCTTCTGTGACCTCTTCTCATCTTGGCCTCCCGCATGAACCTGTCAGTCCTGTTGGGATGGTAACATGGCAATGTCAGCTCAGCTGACTCATATAGGCCATCCAAAAGATTAAACCCATGTGACCTCTCCAGCCCCCTTTCATATACTGGGCATCCTTGAGATCAGGTACCATGGCATCAGATACACAGCTGGGTTTGTCCCTGTACCTACTAACCTTATTGTATTGTTATTAATCTAGAACTAACAACATTAGTAACCTGGATAGGAAACACTATACTTTTTATATCTTATCCTCAGCTGACCATGACAGGTCAGATGTAGCACTCTGCAGTGGAAAAAGCCTTGCCATGTTTCTTCTGCTACATTAGACAGCTGCACCTCACCCAAATCTCCTTTCTGTCCTGGTAGACAAAGATACACTAAGTCAGTGACTTCTCTTCCTCTGAACTCTGAAATACCAGCTTTAGGTCTCCATGTGTGGAGAAAGTACCTTTGGCCTTTCCAAACCCCAGTTCCAAACTCTGCTGCTGCCAAGAGTACTCTACTCCTCACTACAGCCATTTTTTCAGGGCTCAGTCTTGGACTAATACCAAGGAAGATGCTCACCTCTCTGCTTCTTTGTACTTGCCCTGCTTCTCCATCTCCTGGGCCTGGGTTATATAGAGCACAGACACATCTTCCTGACTCATACACTTGACTGCCAGCTGCCAAAAGGAACACACATGGGAGAAACTACAGCACACTGCACAGCAATTTCTTCCTATGTGGTGGTGAAGAAGAAGGGGAAAACCAATTTCCTTCCCATTACAAACAGGTATACACGCCGTATGCTCTGCAGAAAATGGGTAGTCATTTGTTGCTGTGATCAAAGCACACAGGACCGACCCCCTTGGAGAGGGCTTTTGGTGTCACAGGTGCACCCACATGGGGCTGCTGAATTAAAGAAGGCACAGGCAGGATGTTAATACCAGGAACTGATTTCTTGGTGACTACTGGATGGCCCCACATTCATCCTTCGGGAAGAGTGCTTGTTGATCAGGTGTGGGTGCACAAGGCACCACTACCTCCCAACGAAAGGCATCACACCAAGTGGGGTGAGGTCACCAGAAGCTTTGACTTCTGACTCTACCTTGTGAGCCTGTTCCCAGAGCCCAGCCTGTGTGTACATGTCAATGGCATCCTTGGTCTGGTCTCCTTTGATGTACAGCTCCTCTGCAACCTGCAGGGAAATGACCATACTCAGCAGTCGTAAGGGACACACAAAGCATCAAAGATTGTGGTCTGTGGCCTCACCTGATACTCCTGTAAAGCTGCATAGTGCTGGGCAATTTTGGGGTAATATTTGGCTGCTGTCTGTTTGTCCTGCAAGTCCAAAATGTAGATGGCCTTCTTCCACTGCCGGGCTCCCAAGGCTGCTTCAATGGCCTTAATCGAGCACCTAGCATTAAAATCGTAACTCTTTACAGCCAGCCAAGAGCCAATCTCCTCCAGCTGAGTTAAGCCAAAGAGACCAAAGTGGTCTGCTGCTTAATTCTTCTTCCTGGGTTAGAGCAGCAAAAAAGATCTGACTAACTGGCAAAGCTAAGGGGAATGAATGAAGAACTAGAACAGCCGGGAAGAGTAATCAGGGCTGAGAGACCTTGGGAGAGATGCAGAAAGGCATCCATAGTGCCACAGGGGCCAGCAGAGACTGCACATAAGCACCAGTGGCATTGGCAAAACGGGGTTGAGGGAGCTTACTCAGGCAAAATGCTCTGCTGATTTAAGCAAATCCTATCAACTTCGTAACATGCTACTGGTTATACATCCATCACCTGTCCCCACCTGGCTTCAATATAATGGTTAATAGCAGCATCCAGCTGTTTCTGCTGCACCAGATGGTCTCCCCAGGCCTCCTCCAGCTTCACAACTTCCCCAGGAAATGCCAGGCGAGCCAGCTCCACTGCTGTAAGGGGACATGAGAGCTGTGGTGCTGAATCCAGCAAGGAAGCAGAGCTGTGAGGGAAATAATAGGGCTTGGATGTTGCGCAGTGGGAGTGGAATGGTGATTATCTAAACCACCTCAGCTCCAATGGGCTACTCAGAAATTTGGATCCTGTGCAGAGCTGGACCAAATTCATGCTGGTGCAGTCAGCATGATCTAGGCCTTGGGAACTGGATGCTGTTCTGGGACTGTGCGTGTAGGTACAACTATGTGAAAATACATACATTGAATGAGATGATACATGGAAACTTCAGAGCATCTAGGCATCTCTGGACTCCAGGGCAATAGTTTATGTTGCCACCAGGCCAGAGTACTTGGCTCCTGCTGGGGATGGATGGGGCAGGAACATGTTTAGCACAGTACCTTTCAGGAAAGCACTGCCCTTGCAATAGCACTCCAGAGCCCTCCGTGGGTTCCCAACCTTCTCAAGCAGGTCTCCAGCCTAATGACAAACACAAGCTGACAGTTTCCAGAGGCACTGTCTCCCCACACTATCAAGTACCCTACCAGTCCCATGTACAGAGCTTGTCAGTCCTGCCACACAGACTCCTCCATTAGCTATGCCTTCCCCACTAACCAAGAACATGATGGTAAAGGGAACTTGCAGGAAACAACACTGCATGTGCTGAGACCAATGTCGTCTCTGCTGATGAACATACCCAAAGTGTTTCTCTGGGGCACCACCTCCTAACAAGATAAGAGTTTTTGAGACAACCTCCCTTCTCTGCACAGTGGCTGGTGCAGCCTCTCTATGACTATGGCCCTAATGTGACAGATTAAAAAATGGTTACCTTTTTTTGTGTTATTAGACACAGAGAATAATTGCTTCCATTCTCTGTGATATTCAGGGTTCTACAGATTGTGTCATAACCCTCTCTGTTCTTCTTCCTTAGCTTTTCCATTTAGACTATCCTAATTTTCCCAAAGGCCTCCTTGACTATTACTGAATTCAGCTGATGTTGCCAATGAGTTGTGATCTTCTTCCCAACTAGTTCTAGACCTCACGATGTATAATTGATGCAGTTAGGATTTCCTCCCAGTTATCAACACAGAATTACCTCTGCTACTTTCCAGCTCAGTCCCCCTGTATCTCACGAATGGCGAGGACACGGTAAGAGCTTTGATACCACAAAGAAGAAAGCCCAGTGGGGTGGGCCACTCACCTGTTCATACAGTTCGCCTCTGACCAGTGCCATGGAGACCCTATTGATGATATCGCCATTGGTCAGGAGCTCATCCCTGCTCATGGCCAGCCGCGCTGCTTTGGCTGGCAGCCCTGCCCGCAGGTATAAGCTGATGGCTGCCAAGTAGTCGCCCTGTCCCTCTTGGACCTCTCCAAAAAGTTGAGTATCCCGCAGCCACTGGTAGTAATCCCGTCGCAACTTATCCAGCACTGGGTGTCCCTGTTGAGAAATGCAGCATTGGTTGACTTGGGCAAGGCAAGATGTTGTCCTGCTCATCCTGCAGGCTCTGAACAGCTAGCTGGTGGCACCAGACTTCTTGCTGCCCAGTTAGCATAAATCACAATGACAGCCCCGTGTACCACTGCATCACCTTTATTTTTCAAAGACCCAGATAATCCTAAATCAATGTCAGTAGCTTTTCTCCCTCACTATTCACTGAGGTCCATACTCACATCAGAGTAACCTTCCCTTTAGCTTGGAGCCTCTCCAAGCAGAAGTGAGGCCCTGATAGGGCAGGTGGAGAGAAATCAGACCTTGAATTGACTCCCAACCAGAAGACTTATCAAGCAAGCCCAGCCCACAGTCCAGTGCAGCTGTATTCCATACCTTGGCCTCAGCAACCACAATGCATTCATCCCACATGTGCAGCTCCTGGTACATCTCCATGGCCTCCTCTGTGGCATTCTGTGTCAGAGAGCAAAGTGTCAACCTGAAAGCTCCATTTACCAGGTCCATTGCCATTGAGCTCTCATAGAGAGCAGGGTTAGGTGTGCAGAGAACACTTGAAAACATGTACCATCTCTTTTCCAAGAATATACATACTCCCTTACCCCTTTTCATGTACCTCAGAGCAATCCTACACCTCGGAACAAGAAATACCTCCTTCTGTTTCCAAGGAAAAAACTCTTCTCCCAGGAATAAACAATCTCTTCCAATAAAAAGAAAAGAACAATCTTCTCTTTCACACAGGGCACAAACCTCCCTGCCCAGAAATAAATGCCTTTTCTGCTCCTTGTTCCTTTTACTCACTTGTTCCAGGAAGATCATCTCTGCCAGCTTGTAGTTCTTGTCTAGCATGGCCAAGCGGGCTCGCACCAGATAATGGTCTGTACCATCCCCACCCTGCAGACAACATCAATTAGCTCACTCAGCTTGCTGAGTGAAAGAATGGGCTCTGGAATGATATAAGGGAGGTGACTGCAGGTGGGGTCTATGTCATTACAGAAACAAAAGGAGACAGATGAGAATCACAGAATTGACAGGACAGAAGCAATATAGAATGACTAGCCAGAAGAGGGACCTGGCAGGCATGGATGAAGGATTATGTCAGCAGTTTCTATACGACTAAGTACTGGTCTGTAAGCAGGATACTGATGCACATGGACACAGAAGACAATGTGTATGCAAGTGTTTACAGGAAAGCAACTGCCCTGCACAACAGAATAAGTTTGACTTACATGCTCTTGAGCTGCCTGGTCAGCAATGGTACTGGTTTCATGAAGAAATTGAGCCTTTGCCATGTTGCCCAGAGCTGCAAAGCACCTGAAAAGAGCAAAGCAGTTAGTCAATAAGTGGGTTTTGTTTCCCACTTTTGGTCCCAGAGCAGACAATCAGAACCTGGGCAGCAGACCCAGCTCTGCAAACTGGAGAGGTGGGGTAACCCTGCTGCAAGAGAAGGATTTTGGCAAGACCCACATTAAGATCTGCCCTCTAGCCCTGCTCCATGGGAGAAGCCACATACATGACCAGGGCTCCTGCTTCACTTCCCAAGGCTTCAGAGATGCAACTGAGCTTGTCCATGTCTGCCAGCTCCTTGAGGTCTCGCTATATACTGCATTTGGTTGCCATGAGCAAAAATTTATGCTACAGAGTGATGTCTTCCTGACCTCAGTTCTAGCATTACTGTCTAGGATGAAAGTGCAAAGTCATTGCCTGAAAGAAAGAACACTTAATTCTCCAGTACAGTGAATATTCCAGGACCACAGTTTCTCTGAAGGATTCAGCAAAGAGAGTGTTTGAGCCTTAAAGATGTTACAGCTTCTTTTTGTACCTCTTTGCAATGTGCAGCTGTCTAGCTTCCAATGCCAGTCTGCTTAGAGTCTTCCACATGGCTTCAGTCTCTGCAGACATTTCCAGTGTCTCCAAAAATGCTGTAGCCCTTGAAACAGAGAGATTTGCAGACTTTCAGTAGCAGAATACAAGAGCTCTCTGAGGAAAGTCCTAGGCTGAGACAGGAGTTTCCTAACAAGAGTTACATTGAAAACAAAGCAAGTTGGGTATGACCAGTTCTGAAAAGGACTGTTCAACACAGGGCTTGACAAATCAGGGAAAAATTCAGAGATCTAGATCCCTGCGTGGGCTACTTAGAGGCATATGCTCTGCTACAGGCAGCGTGGGGCAAGTCCAAAGTGTTGCATCTGAAGCAACTCCCCGGTGCAAATAAGTCTCTCAAGTGGTAACAGTTCTATGAACACGTGAATTTTATTTGCTGGTCAATTTTAAAGCCCTGTAACAATGTCAGTAGTGTCTACCTTGACTGCTTCAGGCAGTTTTTACTCTGCACAGGTCCTGAATGCTTGCATGACACTGACACCATCCCTGGAGGGACAGCAGTAAAGGCACCTGAGTACCACTTCACATCTGGCTGCTAACGAAGACACACTTATTCACTGCAGTTAAGTGAAAACTGCCTTCAGTGAATTTCTGTCAGTGTCAATGGGACCAGACTGGCCAGTTTCTTGTGCCCCTGAGTTTGAAACCACAGAGATGTGAGGATGAAAAAGCTGAATATTCAGTCCTGAAGGACTCTGCTGCACATTATAACTAGACCTGGCACCAACATCATGCTCAGAGCCTGAACTTGAACTCTGTACGGAAAGATGTGCTGCTGTAGTTCATGGATTACTCACTCTCAGATGTCTGTTATGTGTAGTAGGCTACCTGCCATCACCATGTGGTCTATCTAACACTTACCTGTGATAATCCCCATCATCAATGGCAGTTCCAAACTCTATGAGGCCTTCATCCAGGGTGTAGGACACAGTGTTCACCCCTTCAGATACTATCACTTCAGTCTTTCCATTATTCCGTTCCAAGTCTACAATATCCCCCTGGAAAGAGAACCAGCTATCAACATTCCCATGTCTTCCTAAAGTATGCAGGGTACCAGGAATGTGAGGATAGCACTGCAATAGCTCTGCCAATTTAAAGTTCTTCTGAATGAGCTCACACTGAGCAGCTCCTTGTAATACTAACTATCTCCATTTTCTAACAAAAGTGCCTGTCACAAAGTTGACAGATGAGCTCATATTTTGTCCAGAAGAAACTAGCAGTTCCCTTCGGTCTCCTTGTCTTCTTTCTGCAATACCACCCTGACTATTCCCACACATGTGAGCAAGAAGTAATAGAAACTGCTGGAGGTAATCCAAGTCTCCAGAGTTTACCTTCAGAGGAAACATGGTGACTCGCTCTGGAGCATCAATGTTATACCAAATGCAGAGGCTGTTTCTGTTCTGAGCCACCACCACATCGCTGCCTGGGACCCACTGCACATAGGAGCAATAGTTCAAAATGGTAGTCTTTGTGCTGCTTTCAATGTCATAGAGATGCAACTAGAGAGGGGGAAGAGGAGAAAAAGGCTCAGCTGGGCTCATAGCTGGACTGTTAGCTCACATGAACATCATAGGAATGTCTGAGCAAGCATCTTGTAAACATATTACCAACTAGGTAATTGTTCCAACACACATAGTTCAAACTGCAACACTGTTATTTACACACATTACTATCCAAGACTTATGACCTTTTTTAACCCTTGCAGTATTTTAAGCAGCATTCTCAAATCCTGCCTTCTTTGCTGCTAGGCATGTATGTATGTAAACCAGAATATGTTTTGTGCTTCTTCAGTTCCCTCTCAGTTGCAGAGCTGGAACTCTGCAAGAACTCTTAAGAATGGCCTCTTAAGTCCTTCATGTAAACAAACTGGGGGACAAAAAAGGGCCTTCCTCGGCAGTTCTGGGCTGAACTGTCCATCCTGCTGGCGAATGAAGTTGCTAAGCCACTGTCA